GTAGTGGTCAAGCGCCAGATCTAATCCAATTCCACTCCTCTGCGGTCGAGTAAATGTTACTAGATCTGGGAGAAGAGAAAATGCTGATTCGCTGAGGGCTACCTGCACCCCCCCCCCCCCCTTCTTCAAGTAGAACGAGTAGCGTATCTCAAAAAAAATCAACATCTTATAGCTTCGCCTTTCAAGTCTAACTACTAACACGCTCGTTAATGTGAACTCTGAAGGCCCTACAGCTGCAATGAGACAAGTGCCAATAATGCTGGGGTCCGCTACATCTATCAAAAAAGAGAACCCTTACCTGGTTCCTTGAGTTATATCGAATCCACCCGTTGAGTTGAACGAATCATCGATTGGCTTTATCGGATTCATATCACCGGCGTTATCATGATCATGTTGCTCCTTCATCGCTTCGGCTGTCCGCAGAACTAGACGACCTTCTTCTGAGATCTATAAGAGAACGAAAACATTACTGTTTCTACCAAGAAACACGAGATCTCACAAAAAAGGTTCACCAAAAGCGCTAGGCGCGTTGTCTATTGACCTAAACCTACCGAATCATGCTGCAGACATTTCTTGGCCATAGAAAATTGCTTTATCCACATCACGCTGTTCCAAATAGTGCTTGGCAAGGAACTGTACACAGTAGACCACATTTTCGTCAGTATCCTAAAAACACCGACATAGGCATACTGCCACACCGCGAGAAGCCTATCGTACGTACCTCTATGTCTTGATACTCCCTCAGATATTCTTCGTAGGATCTCGCAGCACGCTGCATTTGATTTTCAGACTCATACAACCTGCAAGAAACAATGTGATCAGTACTACGGCTCTGTGGAACGAACGAGCAGAACTCTTACGAGTTTGCAAAAATTGTGCAGGAATAACCATGTTTTGAAATATTCACCAATACTGGCCTATCAATTACGCTCTCAAGTACAATAGTGAACCGAGAAGAATTATGTGACCATAAATATAAAAGGGACAGCCAAAAAATTTGAAGGGTCCCCTTTTCTGAAAGAAAGTAACACTCACTTGGCCAGCATCCAAAGCGCCGTTCCCTCCACATCACCATACTTGAACGCTGAGATGAAACATTTTTCAGCGTTGCGAAGCCGTCCCATTTTCTGGTACACATCACCAAGTGCAACCAGCATACGGGAGTCTTGAGGTCTAAATTCACAACGTATATTTCAAAACAGGATCCGATCTATACGTTGAGCAGCAGGAAGTGATCGCGCGAAGCCTTGACCACCACCAGTTCAATTACTGAACCAAATGGGGTAGGAATGGATCCAGTGCGTTGCGTGAAACACGCGAATCAGCCCCATTCGTCGCGCTGACTTGAACTGCAAGCGGGAGGCGATGTGGGGCGGTGACTTCTTACTGCACACCATAACACATCAAAAATGCTTACTTGCACAGATGAGCCTGCTGGTAATAAAACAACGAGTATGTTGGCATTTTGATAATATCATACATCTGTCCAAGACCGTACCAGCCCCGATAGTCCTTGCGGGTCTACCTCTGAAAATCAAAACATGAAATTTTGAAACAATACGGTCAAATTCAAAACTCAATGAGAAACTTTATAAACAAGCGTACAAAATCTAACCTAACAGTACTTTGGAGCAAATTCATCAAGTGACACTCACCGATCGCTCTTCTGTACGACATGCAAGGCCGCAGCGTTGTTCTTCAGCTCCATGAATTCATGACCTACCAAAACCCAAATGGAAGCAACGCCGGGGTTCAATCGAAGGGCGCGCTGGAAAAACCGAATCGCTTGTTCGTTCTCGCGTCGAAGACCGTAATAATTACCTTAAAATGTTTAGCAAAGTCAAACTGTCCCAACATGAATGCTCGTGAAAGCAATTCTCTTCTGCCGAACTTCCTTGCTGAGTTGCGGCCGGCGTCAGAGATCATTCTGCAGGAGATCGACGTAGTAGTTTCTGCTGAGCGGCCATCACTGCCGCGAAGAATCGTTGTACTGCACTCTGTATGACTCACCGGCGTCCAATGCAGAGATAAGCAATCTAGTTTTCGTCTTCTCTTCCATTCCTTCGCAGTCGATGTCGAATATATCTTTGTGTCGATTATACCATAAGTTGAAGCAGTCGTCCTGATCCGGGTCGTACGAGAATTTGTCGATTCTTCTTGCCATCCGGTCAAAAGCGGACTCTTGCTGAGTTGCTGCCGGCGTAGATATCTTCTGCAGGAGATCGACTAGTAGTTTCTGCTGTGCGGTGGCCATCATCTGCAGCAGATCGTTGACTGGCAAAGCCTAGTGAACCTACAGAAGCAACAGGAAACTACCAAATGGAAGGTCAGTTCAACCGCCGACACGGAGCCAAACGTAGAAGATTCGAGCCGGATGATCTAGTATATGCACGAGACTTCCGCTCCAGTCAACCCAGATGGACTCCAGGACAAATTTTGCGCCGCCATGGACGCACTCTCTACGATGTGCTTGTTCAAGGAGCCATATGGAGACGCCATACAAATCAACTACTTCCACGTGTTCCGCCGGAAGCAGTGCCTGAACTGACCACCGCATTGGATGTACCATTGGAAATCTCGCTGGATCCTCTTACTGCGACATCGCCGACTTCAATGGATACCACTGCTGCTCACACGACGACAATTACTGCGAGATCACCACAAACGACGTCGCCTACCTCCGGATATCGTCGATCTATCCGCATTCGACGTCCTCCTGATTTCCTCCAGATTGACCCGTACGCCAAGTCGTACCACGGACGTCAATCTTAGGGGGGAGTGTTGGGGGTAGGCCGAATGCGCCATACATTCTCATTAAATGAACTTCAGTATAGTTGTGTACACTGTGATAGTGGTGATGGATCATCACCACATAAACATGATGCTTATATAAACCTTCACGAGTATGGTTGCATTCACTTTTGGTCTCGTCTATGCCTACAAATAAAGCTTCTACTCAGCTCGTCTCGACAGAG